AGAACAACTTTGCCTTTTCAGGATATAGTTTTTTCCTAATCAAAATGCACATTTTAGCAAACCTCTCTGTTGGATGTCTACAAGCTCACAGTGATTGGTAATGACCTGACCTTGACATAGGTCACACAAATAATATCTGAATTTGTGAAGTGAATAGCGAGCAGCATTAAGCTTTTAAAAATGACGCAAAAGTATCAGATTGGTCCGATGCTACATGTCGTATATTAAAATTGTTCTGGGGAGATATGATAGGGTTTGGGGAAAAATAAACCAAAGTTAATGTATTATTTAACGGAAATCCTGACCTTGGCCGTTGGTCTTCTGTGCATGGCTGCATGACATGAAATACAATCCATCTCAGAGAAACATCTATTTGATGTCTGAATTTACATCTGCAAGATGTATTTTTTGAGTGTTTGCTCATCTGCAACCCAGATAGCACAAGTCTATTTGATGTGTGTGTTTACATCTGGAAGACGTATTTTTAAGAGTGTTTGCTCATCTGCAATACGTCTATAGGACGTTTTCTGTCAGATGTCAAATAGACGTTTAGGAGATGTCAGTTTAACATCCAATCTAAATCATTACATCTTCTAAACGTCTATTTGACATCTGACAGGAAACGTCCTATAGACGTATTGCAGATGAGCAAACACTCTAAAAAATACGTCTTCGGGAAATACATCTCTGAGACTTCTCCTGTCAGATGACATATAGACATCTAGAAGATGTCTGTAAGATGTTTATGGTTTAGAATCTATGTAAAACTGCTCTTTCTAAGATGTTTATCAGATGTATTTACAAAGCTGATGTTTTCTAAATCTCCAGATATTTAGCAGACATCTTACAGATGGACATGTGCTATCTGTGTCTCTTGTGTTCGTCGCCATAAGAAGTTATCGCAGTCACATCTGTCAACATCAGTCCGGTCTGGAGATATTCAACTCTGTGAAGAAAGTACAGATACTTCTTTGGGTATTTCCAGAGCTTTATAAATATAAAATTCATGGTACAGTTTTCTTGGGCTTGATTTCTCTCAACTTGTGTGCTTTTTCTGAATCAGAGTGAACTGTAGCACTAATAGAGACTTATGGTCATGCTTTTTATTAAATAATACATTCAATTTAAGTTTGTTTTTTTACCTATCGCATTTGTATATGGTACCTTAAGAAGACTTGCCTTAAGAGTACTCTGACCGCAAGTACAGTTTTTTAAAGATTTGAAGTGAAAATCAATACAATTAAGTGGACTTCTTTTTAACAATGGCTGTTTCAATAGAAAATGCAGGAAAGAAAATGTATTCATCAAGCCACTTCAGTAAAACCTTACAACTTGCGTTTGTTAAAAAGAGAATTTTACTATAGAGCCAATTACTGAACTACAAATCCTGGACGAGAATACAGTTCTCTTTGAAATTTTTATTTTTTAAATAATGCAATGCTAAATTAATTAAATCTGGCATTAATTAACGCTTGAAAATTTTAGATCTAGGATCATTCTAATCATTTTCTTTTTCAGTCCACTTCAGGAAATTTAATGCTATATTTAGCATTTATTTAATTTAGTACAGTTATTTTTCTCATTATTTCCAGTATTGATGATTGTGTTCTCCAGAATCATTTGAGAAAGTTTCAAGACAAAAACATCTATCACAAATTTATGTACATTTCATTAGTGACCTAGAAATCTGAAATCCTCAATTAGTTTACACAATAATGTTTCTTTGTTCATTTTATTTCTTACTCATGACTTTTGAAGCCCTCTGTGACTGTGTATGTAAGCTTGTTTCCGCCACTGAATATAAAAAAGAAAAAAATAATTGTGACTTTTTATCTCACAATTACGAGATATGAAGTCATAATTGTGAGAAATAAATTCGCAATTTCGAGATATAAAGTCGCAATTGCATGTTAAAAAAAGACAGAAGTGCAACTTCTTTACATCTCGCAAATTAATTCTGACTTTATAACGCATAATTGCGAGTTATATGTCAAAATTTTGACATCTTTTCTCAGAGTTATCTGGCCAATTCTAAGGGGAAAAAAAACTTTTTCCCCCTCAGAATAGTTTATATCTCACAAATCTGACTTTATATCATGCATTTCGGACTTTATAACACGCAATTGACTTAATATCTAGCGATTCTTACTTTATATCTCACAATTCGACTTTATAACATGCAATTGCGACTTTTTATCATGCAATTCTGACTTTATAACTCGCAATTCTGACTTTATATCTCGCAATTCTTGCTTTATATCTCGCAATTCTTACTTTATATCTCGCAATTCTGACTTTAACGCAACTCTGACTTTATATCTCGCAATTGTGACTTTATAACACGCAATTCTGACTATATCTTGCAATTCTTACTTTATATCTCGCAATTCTGACTTTAAAACACGCAATTCTGACTTTATATCTCACAATTCTGAGAAATAAAGTCAGAATTGCGAGATGTAAACTCGCAATTGTGAGAAAAAAGTCTGAATTGTGGGATAAAAGGTCGCAATTACCTTTTTTAATTTTTCATTCTGCGGCGGAAACAAGCTTTCATAGTGACAGCCCATTTGCTGTTTGTGAAAGTATTTTGTCTCTGTCTTGCAGAAGGACTGCTTTCCCACAAATGAAAAATTGCCTTAATGAGGGTACAGTTGCCTTACATTTGACCTCTATTTGTGAGTTATTAAAATAACCATCACAGTATGATATAAAAAAACAAAGTTTGGAGGTTATTATAAAAGATGTAACCTGCAGGAAAACTGAAAATGAGAACTGAAGAGCATTTGAAAGAAAGTACCAGAACTTCCACAAAAAAAGGCTTGTAAAAGGTCAAGGGTCACTCGTCAGGATCTCCAGAGAATGACGTAAAGGTGCAGCAGTCAACCATATCAAGAGCTCTGCATACACAACAAAAGAAGCCATTTCCCAAAGAGATCCACGTGAAAGCATAAGAAGATTTTGCATAATAAAGATTAAGTTACGTGGGAAGATGTTTAGTTAGCCTGTAATGCATCACGGCACAAACCCTGTCCACACTCTGAATAAAAAACATTCGTCCCATGATATTTTGAATAAGCTGAGTATTTGAATTTTACCACTCTTTCATGTAAAAGATGTTTCAAATGCTGTAGGTTAAAAACACTTGCTCGATCCAGCTATTTCCGATGATGAAAAGCTGACAGGAAAAAGAGCAAGACGCAGCAGAGAGAAAGCGGTGTAATCGGCAAATTGAAGTCCCACTTTCCCTTATCAGCTTCTCGCAAACAAAAGGGACAAATTGATATGTTAGAGTTAAGGTGCTGCCGTAAAGATATTGGGCCGCTCCTGAAGGATTTGTCTAGTTAAGCTCATGAAACATTAAGCAGTGACAATTCCATAAGATCAATAGAGCGCGCCCGCTCTTCTCTGCTGCCTTTGTTATTCTTTCCTTTCTGTCCCTGGGTGTCTTTTACCATTTTACAAAAAAAAAAAAAAAAAACTTCCTTCAGAACCAAGTCGGATCTCAGTTCATTTGCATTAAAATGCATCTGAGATATCATCTTTTTTAGTTTTGTATATTTTTTATTCATTTAATCTAATATAGGAACACCACTATTTTTAATGTCTTTGAAAGAAGTTTCTCATCGAGCCTGATTTTTTATTTTTTATTTTTATCGAAAACAGAAAACAAACAGTTTATGCGGGTGTGTGAACGATGTTATTTTTGAAAACGGAGAGGGGAAAAATATTCGTTTCGCTATTATACCCGGCTTTGTGTAAACGTGGCCTTGATCACTGTCAGGTTTGTGGCGAGAGGCATGTAAAGTCTTTCCCTCAGATGACATCACTGTTTCGGCTTCATCAGAAGTAGCCTAAACGAACAGCGTGACGTCTGACGTGAAATCAATGCTGCTTACTGTGCACATGCATATCGTGAGCTGCGCAGGAATTGATGATAAGCCGCTTGAATTAAGGGTCAATACAGCTTGTATAGTCAGTCAGGAGAGAGGACACTGCTGAGCTCCCAGCTTTTAAAACAAGATCCATGTTTGTGTTTGTTAATCACATATTGATTCAGGCCAAGAAACAGAGAAATAATGATGCCCTGAACTTGACTACACAATGTCTCTCTTTGTCATTTGCATATACAATAGATATACATAGATAATATGACCTAGATTTTATAATTTGAAGGAACAAAAAACTGACAGCCACAATAGGTTAAAATGTATCTATGCATCACAGATTCATCAAATCTGCTGTGAAATTGAATGGCACCAAAAAGCAAACAAAGGCACAGATAGGCTACAATTATATAACACGCTGTAAAAACAACATTATCATTGCCTTTGGTGAGATGCAGTCCTTGGAGACCCTAAACCTGCATTAATAATTCACCGCTGAAGATGCTGAGCTAATAAATAAGTAATTAAATAGATTTGTCTTGTGAATGGCTGCTCTTGTGACTCAATGCATGGCGGACTGATGGAGTTACAGCGCCATCTTGTGGATTATAAGTGGTTTCGCGTGAGTGTGAATTACTACACTAAGTGTTAAGTATATTGATTTGAAATAAATAAATAAATACATTCAAATACATATAAAATAGATTCAATACAACCTGAGTGATTTCTTTTCGATTGAAGAAAGACGCGGAAATCTTTGATTAAAAAAGTGAACTATCCTTTTTCTACCTTCTGAAATGCTTGATTTTTGTTTAGCCAGTCGCGACATGATTCAAATATTATTAAAATCTTAATAAACAGCCACATGGCTATGGTGGTACTGGTGGAACGTAATATGTAATTAATGTAACAAAGAAGACAGGTAAGCTTTTTTTTAAATGTCTTGATAAATATTTTTTGAACAGGTTCTTATAAATGATTCGTGGAAATGATTCGGGCATCGGACTCTTTACTGCGCATGTCAAAGTTCAGCCAATGGGATGCTACGTACATGTTTCGTTCCTCGTCGATTTCAGGAAGAAGATGTGGTGTCTATAATGAGATTAGGACATACAGGGTTAAATAGAACGTTATTTATAATGAATAAGCATGTTGATGGAAAATGTGATTACTGCAATAGTCAAGAGACAGTAGAACATGTAATTATGAATTGTCCTAAATACCATCAAGTTAGGCAAAGATTGATATCACAATTAGGTGAGAATGGGATTACCCTTAACTTAAAGGAAATAATGCAAAGAGGGTCTGGTGAAATTTGTTTTTATTTTTTGTTTTCTTTTTTAAAGATAACTGGATTAATAAAAAGAATTTAAAAAGTGTAGTCAGACCAGGTTGCAGAGTATGAGTTTGACCCATTGATCCACACTCCAGTCCAGATGGTGGCGGTAATGCACCAAAAAGCTGGTTGCCAACCGCCATAGAAAGAGAAGAAGAAGAAGATTTCAGGAAGCGCATGGAGACAGAGCAGTGAATGTCAAAACCAAACGGAGACCGATCAGACTTACCAATGGAGCTGTTGTAGAAGTGCATGAGTTTTATCATCACACATGAACAAAAATAACATCAATATCCCATTTACAGGACGTGAACTGCACTAGTCTTCAAAGCGGAAGGAGCAGAGAACATCAAGCTGTGTTGAATCTCTCGCTCATTTGAAATGCTGTCGCTCACGTTACAGCGGATTCCTGCTTTCACTTCAGCATTATTCTGCAGATGTAGCTCAAAACTCCTTCAAAGACACTGCAGTCGCATGTTGTCCAAGAAAACGAGAGTATCCGATGCGCTCGCAAGCAAAGAGACTGGATCACATGTGAGAATACAGGTGAGAGCAACACTAAGTTACCCGAAATTATTCCGTTTCTTCAATTTGGAGTCAGTTTATATTTTTATGCCCTTTATGTGAAGATCACATTAAAACTATCTTTGAAACATATTTACCATCCTCTCATTTATTGTCGCTATTTTGACTTTTATGTATTGATTTTATGTTATTAAACCCAGAATTTACTGTTTTATTATTACAATATAATTAAATATTTCATATGCGTGCACATACAGAGTAAACCAATTTCGGTATTTATTGTGTGAATGGCTGTTCCTTCAGTCTGTTTCATTACTATTATCAAGTTTGGTCCTAATTTGGTATTTTTTTTATTTTATTATTATTAAATAAAAGTTGGTGTACTTACCAAAGAGACTGAAGGATCAGCGAAGAGCTGAGATTAAGTATTAGATAAACATATTATTGTGAACATAATATTGTATTATTTTACATTTCCAATCAAACTAAAATCATGCAAAAAATGTCAAATATTATGTGTATATGTAGGATACATACTAACAAGACAGAGGAAGCTTTTTACTCCAGACATGTTTATAATGTCATTTACCCAACAAATTATATTTACAGAAAAATATATATAATAATTTGAGATGTGGTAGAAAGTTGATGACGTATGTATAAACCAGGTAATTAATTTTAGTTAACTGAAATTAAATCCTATAAATTTAAATAAAAGAAACGTATTGCACCTAGTTAACAATGCAGCATTTCTTAATTTCATTGATTTGATCCTCTAAAATAACAAAAGCTAAAATAAAAAAATATCTAGACATAATTTAAAAAATACTAAAAATAAAAAAAAAATAAAAATAAAACCCACAAATGTACTTAAAATTTAACTAAAATGAAAACTAACTCAAAATGTAAATTATAAGTAAATATAAATGGACAAATGTAAGTAGCAGTTGAATCAGCTTGATAATTGTTTTTTGTTTGTGATCTTTTTTTTTTTTTTTTTTGTATGTGAATATGTATGCTGTTCCTGCAGGGCTGGGTTCGATCCGTCAGGCCACAGAAAGACAACCTCTTCTTACATGTGAACGATGGAAGTTCATTGCAACCTCTACAGGTTGTTGCCAGCTCACACCTGAATACCAGGTGCTATTCTGTTCATGTGAAATTGAGTACTTAACACTCATGAATGAATATGAATTACTGTTTCAAATGAAAGTCTTGATATATGCAGTGATTTCAAAGGTTATTTGGACACATAAGCCACACAAATGTGTTTGAATGTCAGTAAAATAACAATCCAAATGACATTTATTTTAATTGCATTTAAGCACAAGCATAATTTTCAAACAAAATTCACAAAATCAGGTTTTAAATTATTAAACAATATAGAGTTTAGATTTAAAGGTAACTTTTGATCCTGTAGTCTAGTGGATAAAAATTAAAACTGCATTCATTTTGCAGAAGAACATTATTTTGGTTGTGCTTTAGCTCTAGCGTAATGAATAAGAAAATGACATTTGTGTGTGTTCAAATACTTTTTTGGCCACTAGATCTGTATTCTTGATAATATATCCTCCCTTCTTGTGAAGAGACCTCACATTTGGCTGTGCTGTTGACATCACTGGCACCTTAGAGAAGAGCCCAAATAAGAAACAGAGTGTGGAGTTAAAAGCTCAGCGCATTGAAGTGGTTGGAGAATGCAATCCTGTGGTGAGTCTTTACCTTTACATTGAATCAGCCAGATAAAACTGATAAAGTGATTTATATAAAGTGATGAATGACTGTGTATGTCTGCTCTAGGACTTTCCTTTCAAGATCAAGGAGCGTCATTCTCTGGAGTACACCAGGCAGTTTCCTCACCTCAGATGCCGAACAAATGCCTTCAGCTCCCTGCTCAGGATACGCAGTGAGGCTACAACTGCCATCCAGTCGTTCTTCAGGGTATTAAAGTCACTTTAAACACACTAGCGTTCAAAAGTTTGGGGTCAGTAAGATTTAAAAAAAAAAAAACGTTTTTGAAAGATGTCTCTTATGCTTACCCTTATTTCAAATATCAACAGTGTTTCTCAGAAATCACTTATTGCACCTTTAATGTTAGTTAATGCATTTACTAAAGTTTTCTAATGGGACCTTATTTTCATACAGAATTAATTATCATTCTTTAATTTATTCTATATACATTTTTAAATCCTGTATAATTTATAGATTGCAAATGAGTGAAAATAAAATTCTCACGCAGCTTGTGTGTGAACACTTCTCTTGTAGATTCATTGTGTTAATTGTTGTTTCAGGAGAACGGTTTTGTGCAGATACACACACCAGTAATCACCTCAAATGACTGTGAGGGAGCTGGAGAACTCTTCCAAGTTGAGGTGCATTTCAGATCTAGATCATTTATATATTTTAGTATGTATTGCTTAGTTAAAGGGTGATCTGTGAGATGTAGCAACATGAATACTTTTAATTCCTCTGTGAATCTACAGTAAATGATCAGTGCTTGTGTTCTCTAAAGCCTGCAGGTGATAAAAAAGACTCGGATGACCCCAACCCACATTTCTTCTCAGTCCCAGCTTACCTAACAGTCTCAGGACAGCTACACCTGGAGGTGATGGCAGGGTAAAGCCAAAAACACTCGTAATCAATATTCAAAAATTGATCTTAGTTTTATTTCATTATTATCAGGGCTGTCAGTTGATTAGGAAGTTTAATTGTTGTATTGCATATAGAGGTGGGCGATATATTGTATAGACGCTAATATCCAAATTGTTGTCTGGACGATATGTTGAATTGGGATATCAAATATTTCATAATTTGTACAATCCGACCCCCCAAACATGAAAAGAGCTGAAGGAAGTTAAAAAGAAAACAAATTACACACACTATAACCTTCTAAACAATTATATGTAGCGATTTTAATACTGTATGGCGGGTTTGTTTGGCTATATTTTATTTAATTTTTTTTTACAAAATCATGATTGTTTAAATCAATAATGTCTCTATGTACTAGTAATTCTATACAATAATAGGTCAAACTGCAGGAAGTCAAAAAACCAACTGGATCATCTTTGCTCACATTTCTTTGAAGTATTGCAAAAATATCATCTGAATATCAATATATAAACACAGAGATATCCATTTTTGTCAATATCTCACACCACTAATTGCATATCAATATTTGCTGTGAAAAACTCTTAATGTAAATAATTGAAAAACATTACTTTATTGCGGCATTGAATAGTAATTGCAAAATGTATTTGAGATAAATCAAATCTGCTTTATGAGAACCTTTAGCTAAAGGTGAATGCTAAACTATTTTGTGATTGCTGGTTGTCTGTTGCAGGGCTTTTTCAGCGGCGTACACATTCGGTCCTACGTTCAGAGCGGAGAACTCTCAAAGCAGGAGACACTTGGCAGAGTTTTACATGGTAGAGGCAGAGATTGCCTTCACTGAGTCACTAGACGACCTGATGAAGGTAGAAACCGCTCTGCTGCTCACTCATTGAATTACACGCACTGACAAGCAAATGATTATGTTTTAAATGGATTTGATCAAGTTTTTTTTGTTCCCCGGATCCAGTCCAAGTCATTGAAAATTGAGTATCTGCCAATGAGCCCTGTTCTGATGCTTGTATTTTTCTAGTGCACTGTAAAAAATATATTTTTAAGATTTGTTATCACAGCATTTTTTTCTTTTGTCAAATCAACTTAAATAATTTATTTAGTTCAAATAACTTATTATTTTGAGTTTCTGATGATTAAATCAATCTCCTTCATTGTATTAACTTCCTTTTTCCAGTTCAATCAACTTAAAATTTTAAGGCAACCAGCTTACTTCATTTTTAAAGTTAAAGTAACGATATTTTTTTTTACAGTGCACTGCAAAAAATATGTTCATAATTTGTAATCACAACATTTTTTCTTTTGTCAAATCAACTTAAATAATTTATGTGGTTCAGATAATATAATATTTTGAGTTTCTGATGATTAAATCAATCTCCTTCATTGTATTAACTCAATTTTTCAATTTCAATGAACTTAAATTTTAAGGCAACCAGCTTACTTAATTTTTTTTTAAGTTAAACCAACAATATTTTTACAATAAGACATTGGTAGATTTAAACATTTGATACAATGGTAGAAATTGTAAACAGACTGTGCGGTCACAATTCTTAATATAGGACTGCTGATATAAAATTCTTGTATTTTATATGTATTTTAAGCAGAATAATTGCAACTAAAAGAAAAAAAGGTGGTGATAAGGTTAGAAAGCATGAAGCTTGCAGTGTCATAATGCCGGTCTGTCAGTCAAGTCCGAAGCGAGATGCAACCTTATGGCTGATAAAACTATACATTTTATTTTACAAACTATACATATTTTTGCTTGTTCTCATCTGTATTTAAATGTCAGAAATATAAAATAAACATTTAAGGTTGAAATTTTCACTGTTGTGTTCTTCCATCACTGTCTCAGCTCCAGCCAAAGAGCGAACGCAGATTTGGGTTTAGTCAGATGATAACGTGATGCTCCGGTGTGATCGTACGGTTCAGAGGATTAATTATTAAATCTGTCTTTTGGAAGCTGCATTCTTTTTTAAGGCTGTTTCTTATTTTCCAGGTAATGGAGAATTTATTCAAGGCGACCACAGAGCATGTGCTGTCCCATCGCGCAGAGGATGTCGAGTTATTCCACAAATATATGGCACCAGGACACAGGGTAAAACAAACAATACTATTGTGTCTCATGCAAGAAGCTGTAATAAGAGCATTGAGAGTTTCTCCACCATAATGGCTGTAGTAAACCGTTTCAACTCGTCTGAACATCCTCAGGACCAAGTGGATCTCATGTTGAAAAGAAAATTTCATGTGTATGTATTATATTTCAGTTCAGTTGGCTTTTTACGATTTTTAAGTCCTTTTACTTTTTAAAATAGGCCTTGAGCTTGGGATTAGACCGAATACAAGCTGTTACAAGTAAGAATTCTCTTGAAAATAATGAATAAATTATTAGTCATTTTACGTGTAACCATGGACTCTGTGAACTATACATCTTTACTGCTCTCTTTTAAATGGACTTGTATTTGCTTTCTACAGCATTTCTTACACTGAGGCGATAGACATTCTGAAGAGCAGTTCACAGGACTTTACATTCAGTACCGAGGCAAGTCAATTACATATGTTTGTGTTTACAATAGTTACTATACATAGAGATGCACTATATATGAAATGCATGAAGAAAACATAATGTGCATCATCATTCAAAAGTTTGGGGTCCATAAGAAATGAATACTTTTGTTCAGCAAGGATGCATTTAATTGATTAAAACATATACTATAATGTATTTCTTTTTCAAATAAATGCTGTGTCACGGTTTCAGCACAACATTTATAATAATAATAAGACATTTTTTCTAGCAGTAAACCATATTTGAATGGTTTCTGAAAGGTCGTGTGACAAGCTTTGCCATCTTAAAAAAGTTATTCAAATATAAAAGTCTAAATTGTAATAATATTGCTTTATTTGTGATCAAATCGGTGAGCACAAGAGACTTAATAAATATTAAAAAAATCTTACCAACCCCAACTTTTCAGTGGTAGTGTGTAATTTAGTTTGAGAATATTGATGTTTTATATGTAGATTGAATATAAAATTGGTTTAAGACTATCTATTCTGTCTTTAGTGGGGCTGTGATCTTCATACAGAACATGAGAAGTTCCTGGTGAAACATTGTGGTAACGTCCCAGTGTTTGTCATTAACTATCCATATGAGCTAAAGCCTTTCTATGCCCGAGACAACCAAGATCAACCCAAGCACACTGTAAGGATCAACTCTTACCATCAATCTTTTCTATATGTGGCCCTGCCACGAGTTTCACTCAAAGATCTCTCATAGACCAGCTAATATGTGTAAAAATGTTAAATATGATTATATTTGATGTGTTTGAAGCCTATAGAATAAATGCTAAATATCAAAAGGGGTAAAGATGTTATGAGTTGTTGCTATTTTTTAATTCAGCATGTCCATGAGGCCTATTTCTTCTTTGTTTTCCTCACCTCCATGCTCTCACTGCTCACTCAATCATTCCTGATGATGTTTTTGGACAGGCAGCTGCCGTAGACCTCTTGGTGCCTGGAGTCGGGGAGCTTTGCGGTGGATCCCTGAGAGAAGAGAGAATAGAAGTCCTGAGCCAACGACTAGCACAGTGAGAGTTCGAAAACAATTCCTCTTTGCGTTGATATAAGTCATAAAACATAACTTATGCTGATAATGTTTAAGACAGTGATACACTATGGTAAGATTTATTAATTTTTTGCTCATTAAGGCTGCATTTATACGGAAGCGTATTGCATTCACTTGAAGAACAAAAAAAATCTACTGTTTTTCTGAATTAACGAGTTAATTATCTGAGAATTACGAGATAATTTTTCATGGAAAAAAAATTTGCTCTGTTTTTCTGAAGTAATGACTCAGAAATTCAGAGCAGATTTTTTTTTTCTTCAAGTGAGTGCAATATGCGTCCGTACATTTATTTGATAAAAAATACAATAAAAAATGTAATATTGTGAAATATTATAACCATTTAAAATAACTCGGCATCAATACTCCAGTCTTCAGTGTCATGATCCTTCAGAAATCATTCTAATATTCGGATTTGCTGCTCAAGAAACGTTTATTATTATTATTATCCTATTCAGATGGTAATTGTTGTGGACGTAAGGTGGTGGAGCTGTCAAGAACAAAACGAAAGAGAACAAAATCGCAAACATTTGAAATGTGCTGGTTCATACAGTCATGAAAACCTGGGAAAGTCATGTGTATCCATCGACAGAAGCATACATGAGTCGGTCTGTCTGTTTTACACATTATTTTCAACAAACCTTATTATAGATGCATTGTTTAATTTAAGATGAACCGCGGCGCAAGTGCATGCCCAGACTGCAACATAGTGTCGGCCCAGAACCGGCCCACATCTGGTACGCGTTGAATCCACATTTACCAGATGTGGCCCGGATCTGTGCCGACACTATGTTGCTGTCTGGGTGCCGATTCATGGGTGGAGAATTTTTTTTTTTTTTTATAGAGAACCGTTACACCTCTAGTTGGGTTACAGGATTCACTCCTCCACCAGAAAGCAAGAGTTTTATCACTAAGGTGCCATGCAAATTTAGTTTTTCCCCATGAGAAACAATTACTATCTGAATAATGTTGAAAACCTTCTGCCGCACTGTTTATCTGTCTGTTAAAATTGTCTTTTTTTAAAGAGATTTTATCTGAATTTTGTATACAAATACCCAAAATAAGTGATGCTTTCCAGATGATGCACACTTTCACAGATGTATAACTACATGTATGTTCTATTCACTCTCATCCCACAGGGCTGGATTGAAGGACACATATGAATGGTAGGTTCAGAAGATCAATTTTTGCATCTCACCCATATTTTTATTCCAAACTGAGGGTGTTTACATGACAACAATGTACTAAAAACTGAAAAATTTTCCACTTTACGTTTTTCACGTACAGACAAATGCATTGTCAAAACGACCCCTGTTCACACAGATCTGTAAAAAACAATAAAAACGCTGTATTCTGCGGCCAGGCCAGTAGTTAGCGATGTCACTTTATAAATAAACATTATGTGGCTATAGACTGAACAAGTAATACCGCCACCGTTTTCACAAATTTATGTTAGATGATAATGGTGTAGTTTTCAAAATCTTACACTTTAAAGCACACTTTCAAAAGTTTGCGGTCAAAATTCAACTAATAGTTTACCGGTTTTAGTTGAAAACGTTGTTGTGTAAACGTCCTCTGAGAGAATATCTTTGTGATTGAAAGGTATCTGCAGCTGAGAGAGTTTGGCTCTGTCCCACATGGTGGTTTTGGGATGGGCTTTGAGAGGTACCTGCTGTGCATTCTGGGGCTCCACAATATCAAAGATGTGATTCCATTTGCAAGGTTCTCACACTCCTGCCTGCTTTGAAATTAAAGGGAAAAAAGGATTGAATGTGCTTTTGTCTTTTTTTTCTTTGCTTTACTGAGGTTAAATTAATGTTTTTCACTTTTCATGTTTTAATTAATTGCACATTCTATACAGAGTTGCCAAAATTGACAATAAAAAAGTCCCTTTCCAGTGTAAAAAAACAAATACTACATACACAAACAAACATACAAAAATAAGAGAGAAATAAAAAAAAAAATTAAATAAGAGAGAGTTAATGATGCAAGACAAGAGTTATTATAAAGTTCTATCCTGACCAGATTTGCCACACTGCATCAACACATAAGTTGTCCTTTCTTCATCAATACTGACAAATGCAAAAATCAGTCATGTGATACAGGCAGGCAAATCGCATCCTCCTTTAATAGGTCAGTGCCACATTTTCCTCCGGTGGTAATATTCACACCTATTGATAACCAAACTGGTTCTGATCAGAATAGAGAGAGCAGCTTATTAACCTTTAACCGTAAAGTTGGCATCTGTCAAAATTTACTTCAAGGCATGTGTTTAATGTTATTAAATGTGCCTCTGCAGAATGGCACTGAGTGTTTCCCCAGGATTAGAAACAGCCGTCATGAACTTAACGAACAACGTGAACATGAGACCTGAGGGTGAGTTTGCTGCCACAGTCCCCAACAATACTCTCACAATATCTGCAAAGCACCACTAAGCATCGTCTTCTTCTCTTCATCTTTTAACAGAAGACATTTTTTGCCCCCTTGGAATTATAAGGTTCTGTTTTGAGATATTGAGCTTCAAAGTTTTGCATTGCATATAGGAAAATTTATATGGGGAACAAGTTTCATTCAAACATGAAAATAACAGGGACCCTAAATGTATTCTAAACATACAATATCAAAATCCTCTCAAATTTGTAAATGGGGATTTTTGGAATGGGTCAAATGCAGATAGAACCTTCTAAATCTAAAAAAAAAAAAAAAACACTTTTCGCTTAGAATTATAAGGTTCTATCTGCCAAAACATTATTTGAACATTAAATAAAAAAAATAATGTTGTAACAATGTCTCAACATGTGTTAGAAAGTAAAATTTTATCCTTTCTATGACATTTATTTAATATTTTTTAGCACTTCCATGTCTTTAGGACATTTAAAATTAAGCAAGGTAGGTCTAAATATTTTCCCCAGTGCATAATCTTCATTTTTGGTACCAATTTGGTGGGTAATTAAACACATTATTGCAGAAATTATAGTTTAATCTTTCTTTTGCTTAGAAAGAATGCAGCCACTGTAATACATCCGAGCAGGACTTTATTACAGCTAAAGTGGGCCAGGTAAAATGGCTTTCTCTCTAGACCTCAATATGGCTGAAATAACATGCAAATGTTTATTGTTGTAATTTAGACCCCCATTAATTAAATTGTTAAATATATGACCTATAAGCCTTAATATGGTAAAAAAATTAAGACATTTTAAGACTTTAAAAACTGCAAGAAAATTGACATGCTTCAGCAAATTAATTCATAAAGTTTAATAATCATTGAAAAATTTTTCACTCACTATATAGTCTTTGTCTGCACCATTCTGTCTTCGTCATCTTCACTACACTTCCCAGCATCCTCTTGTCTCCACACCTGAACTCACTCCCTCAATCATCCACTTGTTCGTCGTCCTGATCATCTGTGTCACCTTGTTAGTGTTCATTTTGTTTCAGTCTGTGCTTGTCGGTTCTTGATTATGTTTCATGGATAGTGTGTGTAATCTTCTGCCAGTCTTCCTTGTACCTGTTTGAGTGAGCGAGAGTGTGTGTGATTAAAACTCCACTCACACACACACACACACACACACATACACTTTCACACACACGTTCTCTCTCTCTCACACACACCAACACACTTTCTCACACATATGCACACGTACACACTCGCGCACACACACGCACTTGCATGTTGAATGGTTTTCTAAAATATTAATTTACTCACTGCATATTTGTATAATTCAGATAATAATTCAGATGCCACAATCCATCAACCTGTACAATGAAATTTTGAGTTTCTCTGATCTTCTTGAAACTCTGGATTCTGATAGAGGGCCATGGGACTTAGACCTGAGTGCAAAAATGGAGTCTCTAGACCCTTCCTGAGCTAAGTCTCATGGCCCTCTATCAGAATCCAGAGTTTTGAGAAGATAGGAGAAACTTAATTTCTCGCCCCGAAAAAAACGACAGGGGTTCCTCTTTTAGTTTTTTCGGGTCGAAATTTCGGGTCTAAGAGCTGAGATATTGAGATCCCACGTAGCATTTATGCCATTATAAATATCTCAATATCTCGGCTCTGGAAGGGCCTAGAGCCTCCATTTTTGCACTCAGGTCTAAGTCCCATGGCCCTCTATCAGAATCAGAGAGTTTCAAGAAGATTGGAGAAACTTATTTTTTCGCACCAAAAAATAAAACGACAGGGGTACCACTGTCGTTTATTTTGGGGGGTTGAAATTTTGAGTTTCTCTGATCTTCTTGAAACTCTGGATTCTGATAGAGGGCCATGGGACTTAGACCTGAGTGCAAAAATGGAGGCTCTAGACCCTTCCAGAGCTGAGGTATTGATATATTTATAGTGGCATACATGCTAAGTGGAATCTCAATATCTCGGCTCTGGGAGGGTCTAGAGCAGTGGTTCCCAACCTTTTTTGGGTACTGTACCCCCAAAACATTTTATCCTGCCTGAAGTACCCCCACAAGCGCATGTGATCGGTGTGATTTTTAGATTTGGTGTACATTTTAGGTGATACCTGAATTTACCTGTAAATAATGATATTTTTACTTCTTATAACTCTTATAATATAATACTTGTCTTTGTTCAATATTTGTGACCTTTTCACTTCTTCACATGTTCAGACCAATTATACAAAAACAAAGATTAATAATAATAATAATATTTCTTTTTTTATTTACAAACTTTAAATACAAAAATAAACCAATAAAATTAATAATCAAGTTCAAAAATAATCCTTCTAATGCAATCCTAAAATAAAAATTTTAAGAAAAGTTTGAGAAATGTTTTGAGTCACTAATGTATTTGAATTCCATACTGTAGCATAGGAACAAAACAGACAAGCACATTTGGCGGGAAGGACAGGGTAACCATATTATAACATGATTATAATTTTATATAATATATATTTTTATATTATATAATTATATTATATAATGTTTTGAGAATAGTCTGTGGTTAAAAAAAATGTTATAGTCTTTTGAGAATCATCCCACGTACCCCCTGGGGACTGCTCACTTACCCCTAGGGGTACACGTACCCCTGGTTGGGAAACACTGGTCTAGAGCCTCCATTTTTGCACTCAGGTCTAAGTCCCATGGCCCTCTATCAGAATCCATAGTTTCAAGAAGATTGGAGAAACTTATTTTTTCGCACACCAAAAAGTAAAACGACAGGGGTACCACTGTCGTTTTTTTTGGGAGTCGAAGTTTTGAGTTTCTCTGATCTTCTTGAAACTCTGGATTCTGATAGAAGGCCATGGGACTTAGACCTGAGTGCAAAAATGGAGGCTCTAGACCGTTCCAGTGCTGAGATATTGAGATCCCACGGAGCATTTATGCCATTATAAATATCTAAAAATCTCAGCTCTGGAAGGGTCTAGAGACTCCATTTTTGCACTCAGGTCTAAGTCTCATGGCCCTCAATCAGAATCCAGAGTTTTGAGAAGATTGGAGAAGCTTAATTTCTCGCCCCGAAAAAACCACAGGGGTTCCCCTTTTAGTTTTTTCGGGTCGAAATTTCGGGTCGAAGAGATGAGATATTGAGATCCCACGTAGCATTTATGCCATTATAAATATCTCAATATCTCGGCTCTGGAAGGGTCTAGAGCCTCCATTTTTGCACTCAGGTCTAAGTCCCATGACCCTCTATCAGAATCCAGAGTTTCAAGAAGATTGGAGAAACTTATTTTTTCGCACACCAAAAAATAAAACGACAGGGGTACCACTGTCGTTTTTTTTGGGAGTCGAAGTTTTGAGTTTCTCTGATCTTCTTGAAACTCTGGATTCTGATAGAAGGCCATGGGACTTAGACCTGAGTGCAAAAATGGAGGCTCTAGACCCTTCCAGAGCTGAGATATTGATATATTTATAATGGCATAAATGCTAAGTGGAATCTCAATATCTCGGCTCTGGGAGGGTCTAGAGCCTCCATTTTTGCACTCAGGTCTAAGTTCCATGGCCCTCTATCAGAATCCAGAGTTTCAAGAAGATTGGAGAAACTTATTTTTTCGCACCAAAAAATAAAACGACAGGGGTACCACTGTCGTTTATTTTGGGGGGTCGAAATTTTGAGTTTCTCTGATCTTCTTGAAACTCTGGATTCTGATAGAAGGCCATGGGACTTAGACCTGAGTGCAAAAATGGAGGCTGTAGACCGTTCCAGTGCTGAGATATTGAGATCCCACGGAGCATTTATGCCATTATAAATATCTAAAAATCTCAGCTCTGGAAGGGTCTAGAGACTCCATTTTTGCACTCAGGTCTAAGTCTCATGGCCCTCAATCAGAATCCAGAGTTTTGAGAAGATTGGAGAAGCTTAATTTCTCGCCCCGAAAAAACCACAGGGGTTCCCCTTTTAGTTTTTTCGGGTCGAAATTTCGGGTCGAAGAGCTGAGATATTGAGATCCCACGTAGCATTTATGCCATTATAAATATCTCAATATCTCGGCTCTGGAAGGGTCTAGAGCCTCCATTTTTGCACTCAGGTTTAAGTCCCATTGCCCTCTATCAGAATCCAGAGTTTCAAGAAGATTGGAGAAACTTATTTTTTCGCACACCAAAAAATAAAACGACAGGGGTACCACTGTCGTTTTTTTTGGGAGTCGAAGTTTTGAGTTTCTCTGATCTTCTTGAAACTCTGGATTCTGATAGAAGGCCATGGTACTTAGACCTGAGTGCAAAAATGGAGGCTCTAGACCCTTCCAGAGCTGAGATATTGATATATTTATAATGGCATAAATGCTAAGTGGAATCTCAATATCTCGGCTCTGGGAGGGTCTAGAGCCTCCATTTTTGCACTCAGGTCTAAGTCCCATGGCCCTCTATCAGAATCCAGAGTTTCAAGAAGATCGGAGAAACTTATTTTTTCGCACCAAAAAATAAAACGACAGGGGTACCACTGTCGTTTATTTTGGGGGGTCGAAATTTTGAGTTTCTCTGATCTTCTTGAAACTCTGGATTCTGATAGAAGGCCATGGGACTTAGACCTGAGTGCAAAAATGGAGGCTCTAGACCGTTCCAGTGCTGAGATATTGAGATCCCACGGAGCATTTATGCCATTATAAATATCTAAAAATCTCAGCTCTGGAAGGGTCTAGAGACTCCATTTTTGCACTCAGGTCTAAGTCTCATGGCCCTCAATCAGAATCCAGAGTTTTGAGAAGATTGGAGAAGCTTAATTTCTCGCCCCGAAAAAACCACAGGGGTTCCCCTTTTAGTTTTTTCGGGTCGAAATTTCGGGTCGAAGAGCTGAGATATTGAGATCCCACGTAGCATTTATGCCATTATAAATATCTCAATATCTCGGCTCTGGAAGGGTCTAGAGCCTCCATTTTTGCACTCAGGTCTAAGTCCCATGGCCCTCTATCAGAATCCAGAGTTTCAAGAAGATTGGAGAAACTTATTTTTTCGCACACCAAAAAATAAAACGACAGGGGTACCACTGTCGTTTTTTTTGGGAGTCGAAGTTTTGAGTTTCTCTGATCTTCTTGAAACTCTGGATTCTGATAGAAGGCCATGGGACTTAGACCTGAGTGTAGGGCTGGGCGATATATCGAGTTTGTACGATGTATCGTTATATTTTTTGAAACGATATGGAATGAGGCAATACCGTTTATATCGATACAGTAGTTTGATATGAGCACATCTGAAAAATAGCGGAGGTTGCAGTGTGAGCTGCTGCA